CCCAAATCTCATCTTGTATTGTAGCTCCCATAATTCCCATGTGTGGTGAGGGGGACCCAGTGGGAGTTAATTGAATTATGGGGGCAGTTACCTCCAAGCTGCTATTCTCGTGATAGTGAGTTCTCACAAGATCTGATGGTTTTATAAGGGGCTTTTCCCCCACTTCACTCTGCACTTCTCCTTGCTGCTGCCATGTGAAGAAGGTAGTGTTTGCTTCCCCTTCCGCCATGATTATAAGTTTCCTGAGGCCTCCCCAGCCATGTGGAACTGTGAGTCATTTGAACTTCTTTCTTTTATAAATGACCGAGTCTCTGGTATGTTCTTATAGCAGCATGAGGACAGAGTAATACAGAGGACCTGCTTTGATACTGGATAGTCCTGTGAGCAAGTTCTGAATTTATCATCTCACACCTCCTGCCCATGTACAAGTTACTTACTCTGTCCTAATCTGTCTCCTTATCTGTAAAATGGGAAGAATAATATTGGCTTCATAGAATTGCTGTGAGGATGTAATAAGATTTTGGATACTAAGCACTTAGCTTATAGTACTTACTCAATAAACACTGACTATTTATTACTACTGTGTGCTGTATCACAGGGAAGTTGTGGTGGTCAGATGAGATCATTGGCATTCAGATATTTAGAAAAGTTAAACACTTAAGAACTTTCTTCCAAAGGACTTTGTTGCTGAGTTTTCAGGCCCATTCCATGAATGTAACTAACTCTCATATTAGTGCACTTCTGCAAAAATGATGAGGTCTTTTGTTATTGTTTTTATTGAGGAATAACATATATAGTAATGTACATAAATATGAGTGTGCACAGCTCGATAAGTTTTTAATATGTGAATGACATGTTACTACCAACCAGATCAAGATATAGAACATGCTCAGCACCCTGGAAGATTCCCTCATACCCTCTTTCAGGTAATATTTATTCCCCAAAGGTAACCCTTACTCTTCCTTCTGTCACCTAAACAAATCTTTCCTTGGACAATATTTTTATTATTATCTCTAGAATTAATTGTAATATGGAAAATACCAGTTTATAAGCCTCATTCTCTGAATATGATCACTTTAAAATTAGGAGATATGTACTTCATTGCTTAGACCCAACCCAAAAGCTCCATCTGACTTCCTGGCTTTGGACAGTGCTGACATGTCCTCAGGGCATGCCCTGCACTGGGCTATTCACTTGGAAGGAGACAAACGCCTAGGAAGCCTAGTTTCACCCTCAGAGAGCTAGTCTAACTAGAGAAAGAAGCCTTAAAATGGAACACCATCCCTAACAGCAAATGAATCCATAAAAAGCATGTCTCAGGGAGCAATCTCATGTTTTCTTGTTTTCGACCCTCCTGAAGACACTGTTTGGTATTGGTATGTCCCAAGAGGATGCCCAGATTAACCACCTCCCACACAGTTGGGTCCTTTGCTTTGGGGTCACTAGGACGGGGAAAGCTTGCTGCCTTGCCATCTGCTATTGTGTCACAGGTGTCTGTGAGGTCTCTCAGGTAGGACATGGTTTCCTCTGGACACATTAATGAGGACTTGCACAATTCCTAGTAAAAAGAGGGCAAAGGGTGGCCAATCCCTATGTGCTTGTTCCAAGATGTATTTTATCAGGGCATGCTACCCAAGTTCTTCCTGCAGGTCACTTGTCTGTAAGACAGTGCACACACTGGGAGCAGTTAGCAAGCACGCAGTTATCACCATATGCACCATGAAAACACTTATGTGCAGTATTGGTAGTTGTGGAGCTTGCATTTCTTTAAAAGACAGAATGGCATTTAATCACAGTTATTGCCATCCAAGGAGTTGGTGGAACATAAACTGTTCTGTATGGTTGCAAGCACATAAGCCTCTTGAGCTTTCTCACAAAGTTTTCTGTGCTTTATGAGAACAAAAGATGAGACATTTTATTCTTCAAAAATGGGGGACTCCAAGGCAAACCACAGATTAATCACAAAGGAGAAGAGGAATAAGCAGTTTCACCGTGCATCTCTGGTCATTTTGCTGAGGATTTTAAAAGAGAAAATGGTGTGCTAACGCAATGCTTCATTTCACATTATTGCATGTCATCCATCATTTTGTATAGTTACCTATTCATAACATTCACCTCTATCTAATTAAGTGAAAAATTTTTGTTGTAAGTAATTAAGTATTTTTTAATAGGCCAGCATTCTCAAAGATCATACTTTGCCTATAAGGGGACTTCAAGGTGTTGTCTGGAGTTTTGGAGTTTAAGGTATATATTATCCTTGTGGGATTATGTAAACTCTCATATTTATGGGAATGTAAATGAGCAAAACTATTTTGAAAAGTTTGATTTTACCAAATAAAGTCTGAAATTACATATACATAGATCCAGCAATGCAACTTTTACATATACCCTGGAGTGGTGGTTCCAGACTTTAATGTGAACCAGACTTTAATGTGCACCATAATCCCTTAGAGGGTGTGTTCAAACACACATTGCTGAGTGACACCCCAGAGTTCCAGATTTAGCATATCTGGAGTGGGACCATAGACAATTTGTACCTCTAGCAGGTTCCCAGGTGATACTGATGCTGCTGGTCCCAGAACTATACTTTAAGAACCACTGTCTCAGGGAGACTTGTATACGTACATGCTTGTAAGAAGACATGAGCAAAATTTTTCAAAAACGTTGTTCCTAATAACCCCAAGTTAGAAACAACTCAAATACCATCAACAGTTCAATGAGGAAATGAACTGTGGTATATTCATACCAAAAACCCCTACTATATAGCAATCAAGAGGAATGATCTACAGCTACCTGCCTCAACAGGATGAATCTCATTAAGTGTTGGTGAACAAAATAAACAAGGCAAGAAACAGTATCCATAATGTGATTCCATCTGTTTGCATCCCAAAACAGGAAAAACAAAATCATATTCTTTATAAATGCATGAATAGATGGTAAAACTATGAATAAAATCTGATAAGTCATCATTGCAAAAGTCACACTAGTAATTATCTGGGGCTAGGAAGAGGGAAGAATACAGGTGGTTTCTCAGGTACTAGCAATAGTCTACATCTTAACTTGGCTTAACTTGGCTATTAGATATGTTGGAGTTGGACTTATGGTTATTATTTAGACAGAACATTTATATTTATACACATCTACATAGAATACATCTCATAAGTTTTTTAAAAGTTCTTAAGAATCATTCTATCTTTTAAAAATAATGTCCTCTATCTGGTGTGTATTCTGACTCTTTGACAGCTTGTTTGAATTTTAGGATCTTCCCATTTGTTATGAAAAATTAAATCTCAAGCTTTAATAGATGGTTTAATTATTCTGCTGGGTCAACTATTTAAATGAAAGAATTTTTGTTACTGTCAAATACATTTGAGATATGGACTAGCTATGAACAAAGTGTTACAGAGTAAAAGACCTGTAAGGCCTAATTGGAGAACAGATTAGATCTTGTACAGTTAGTATGTTTACGATCTGTGTAATAAGTCAGGCAGGCCCTAGTAGATCATCTTTTAGATGTTGTTCATATCTATGAACATATACATAATGGAAGAGATTGATGGCTGTTGCCATCAAATACATTACAACTGATTTAGATAATTTCCCCTATAAAAATTACGTGACTACAAGAATGAAGATTCTTATGAACTATTTTCTTTTGGTGACAGAAGAGTCATTTTTGAAATCTTTGAAAAGAAGGAAGGACTGAATGTGCCTGTTGATTATATTGTGATATTCTTTTGCCTCCAAAAAATGAGGAGTTAGGGACATCTGCAACTCTGTGAGGATACCAGGAACGCTCATTTCTGTTTCATAATGCTTACTCTGTTTTATCCTGATATTATAGTCTTGCTTTTAAATGTATTGGACTGAATCTCTTTCTTTACATTTTTAGTGTGTCCTGTACAAACAATTCTTAATCATTTTTTTCACCATACGTTTCCTTGCGGCATGGTCTGCATGTCCCCTATTTGATGACAGTGTGGATTCTGAATTTGCACCTCCCACATGCTAAATTGACAGCTGCATAACCTCAAAATGCATTCTGGCAATGATGAATGCCAATATTTTATGATGACAGCCCAGGAATTTGATTGCAGCTGCCCAGTGATATGAGTGGTATCTTTATTATTTGGTGAGTTAAACAGACACATTAAGTACATTTGTTGTAAATACTAGACTGTAAAAGAATGTATTTCTTACTTATTATAGTGAACAATGAGAAACAACCAAAATGTTCATCAATGGAGGAATGGTTGACTCAATTACAATATAGCTATAACATGGAACTCTCCACAAAGAAAGTAGCCTGACCTGTGTCAGGCTCCCTGTGAAGAGCTTTATATGTGTTGTTTCATTTCATTCTCACAACAACCTTGTGAAATTCCCATTTTATTCTGGATATTAGCCCTTTGTCAGATGAGTAGATTGCAAAAATGTTCTCCCATTCTGTAGGTTGTCTGTTCCCTCTGATGGTAGTTTCTTTTGCTGTGCAGAAGCGCTACCTAACTTCAAACTATCCTACAAGGCTACAGTAACCAAAACAGCATGGTACTGTTCTATGGACTTCCAAATCCATTTTCTTATCCAGTTGTACTCTCCTAGCTCATGAATGTCAAAGCTATATATGCTGTTAATTCTCTTCTCATGGAGATTTGGTTCAAGATGAACATTAAGTTATGTAACCACAGAGAAGAGGAAGAGACTTAGATAATAGTAAAATTACACCTATCTAAATGTCAAAGCTAAATTACTTCCAAAGGAGGTACGTTTCCTATACATTCCATGACTGAAAGGAAATTCAAGAATATACACCAAAATTCTGGTGATATGTGCTATCCAAGTCAGGATTTTCATGTATTCTCAGAGCTGTTACTTGTTTAAAATGTCAAATTATAAGTGAAGTAAGAGAAAAGCCATACTTTTGCTCAAATGTAATTATTGATACTGTAAAATATCACTTCTATGTTTATCTTTATAACTTCTCCTTTTAATATTTATAGATGGACAAAAGAGAAAGAAATCTTTAAGAAAGAAACTGGATTCACTAGGAAAGGAGAAAAATAAAGACAAAGGTAAAAGATAAAGTAACTAATGTAAATGCATCTTCCATGGAGCATAATGGTTAAATTTGGTGGGGTTATTGAATTGCGTAGGTATACATGGTTCAACTCTGTTATGAAAACTGGATTTCTACAATGAAATGTCATTAAGGGCTGTTTTGGTCTACTCTTCTGTGTTTGAGCAATCCTGTACTGAACTGATGAATTCAGCTGGTTTGAGGAGAGTGTGACCTCAGCCAAGTTTATGGTTCCAATTATTATTTTGACCAATCAGCTATACATAAAGAGGATCTGGGTTGAGAAGCCATGGACAGCATCTCTAACGCTAACCAGCTGTCTGGCAAATCCAGACAGGCAGGGTTAGTTGAATGAGAGTTTGAATTCACCTACCATGACTACTGGAAAGAAACAGTCTCATCCTCATGGGTTACTGAAGATAGGCCATTCTCAGCATTTTTTTTTCCGCCCAGTTGAAAAATATTTATTTGTAACCAATGTGAATGCTTATGTTTTACTTTGTTACATTGCCTCAGCCAAGACAGGTTAAAGCAAATGCCCTTAATATTTTGGGGGTCACAGAGCCCTTTAAGAAGCATTGACAATGATGATGCTTTATCAAAGGCCTGAAACTCATCCAATGCCCACCCTGCCACCCCCTAAATTTAAAATTCCCACATTAGATATTCACTTAAGCATTTTCCTTTTTAAAAATCCAGGAACATTAGGGAATTGTCAGTGGCTATTAGTCTTTTTTCGTTTTCTTTCTTTTTTTTTTTTTTTTCTTGAGGTGGAGTCTTGCTTTGTCACCCAGGCTGGAGTACAGTGGCACGATCTTTGCTCACTGCAACCTCCACCTCCTGGGTTCACACCATTCTCCTGCCTCAGCCTCCTAAGTAGCTGGGACTACAGGCGCCTGCCACCACACCTGGCTAGTTTTTTTGGGGGGGGTTGTTTTTTTGTTTGTTTGTTTTTGTATTTTTAGTAGAGACGGGGTTTCACCGTGTTAGCCAGAATGGTCTCGAGCTCCTGACCTCGTGATCTGCCCACCTCGGCCTCCCAAAGTGCTGGAATTATAGGCTTGAGCCACCGCGCCCGGCCTAGTATTTTTTTTAAACTCTTGTTTTAGGTTCAGGGGTACATGTGTATGTTTGTTAAATAGGTAAATTTTGTGTTGCAAGGGTTTGTTGTACAGATTATTTCATCACCCAGCTAATCACCATTGTACCCAACAGGTGGTTTTTCAATTCTCACTTTCCTCCCACCCTCCACCCTCAAGTAGGCCCCAGTGTGTCTTGTTCCCTTCTTTGTGTCCATATCAACATGTTTAGGTCCCACTTGTAAGTGCATTCTCAGCATGTTTTTTTGTACAACAAAATTTGTTTTTTAAAATATATATAAATGAAATATAATGGTTGAACATGAGAGGGCGATTCTTTTTTGTTATACTTTAAGTTCTAGGGTACATGTGCATAACGTGCAGATTACATATGTATACATGTGCCATGTTGGTGTGCTGCACCCATTAACTCATCGTTTACATTAGGTGTATCTCCTAATGCTATCCCTCTCCCCTGCCCCCTCCCTACAATAGGACCTGGTGTGTGATGTTCCCCTTCCTGTGTCCAAGTGATCTCATTGCTCAATTCCCACCTATGAGTGAGAACATGCGGTATTTGGTTTTCT